TCCGATCGCACTGGCACCGCGCTCAAAGAGGGCTGCAGAGGGCTCCTCAGAGGGTTTTGGGGTTTAGGGTTTAGGGATGTTCCCCCTTGTACGCATAGTCCTTAGTAGGGATTATCGTACCCCCGATTGGAATCCCTATGACGGACCGTTAGTATAAGGGGGACCTGGCAAGTTTAGGGTTTAGGGTTTAGGGTGTAGGGTTAGGGCTTCGGGTTTTCAATGTTCCGAGTGTTTGCCTGCAGCTCTTTTTCACCTTCAGGTTAGTAGGAGGTACGACTGATTGGTAGGCATAGCCCATAAAGCTGTAGGGGCTTCGGGCTTCGGGCTGAGCCCTAAACTCTAAAGCCTAAACCCTACACCCTCAACCGCTGCGGGTTTTGGGTGGGGGTCTTGCGGTTTAGGAAGTGGGCTTTCAGGGCTTCTGGGTTCCAGCCTTGTGCAGGGTTTAGGCTTTCGGGTTTTGGGTTTCGGGTTTTGGGTTTCTACCCGCGGTCTGGGTTACACATGTCCAACTGGGTATCTTCGCTTCTTGCCCAACTATGCCCGAGGCTTCTATACCACGCTTGGGGGGACGGATAGGCGAACTCACATCCGAGTAATTAGTCTAGAACAGAGACAAACGGGCAGCTTCCCTGATGTACTCCCCTCAAGGGATTAAGACTCGTAACATACTCCTAACATGGCGCTGATATACTGCCTTAAGAACTTTTTTCAAGGATCCCCAAAATCCCAAGGCTGCAACCTGAAGGGTCCAAGGTACAATCCCTTGATGTACCTCGCAGTCCTCATGATATGCCCCTGCTCTTACCCTAAACCCTAAACCCTAAACCCTAAACCCTAAACCCTAAACCCTAAACCCTAAACCCTAAACCCTAAACCCTAAACCCTAAACCCTAAACCCTAAACCCTAAACCCTAAACCCTACTCTAGTTCGGGGTGTGGCCCTGTACATCTCACGGGCTTCTCCCTTGGACCCCTAAGAGGGTACCCTTGGGTTTGGGACCTTCTTTGAAGATCAGGGTTTAGGGTTTAGAGTTTAGGGTTTAGGGTTAAGGGTTAAGGGGAACCTTTAGGGGTACAACCTTAGGGGCACGAGTCTTAGTCCGTTTCAGCATACTCCTATAGAAGCCTTAGTGAGGACCGACATGGGGAGCCACTAAGCCCGAAGGCCGAAGAGCCAGTAGGAGAAGCCTATCCGGTGCTCAAGAGTGGTCTTTAAGGCAGGGGCTTAGGGACTTCAGCAGAGTTTAAGGGCTTATTCCTAAACTCTGAAACTCTAAGACCCTAACCCCAAACTCTGTAAGCCCTAAGTGTTCGTGCTTGTGGGAGGTTTCGCTAAGGGGCAGTTTAGGATGCTTAGGGCACTTTATGAGTGTTTAGGGCATTAGCAGGGGCTGGGTTTACATATTTCTCATGGGTTTACATTGGGCTTACATTGGGTTTACACTGAGTTTACATTGGGTTTACATGGGTTTACATGGGTTTGAATGGAGTTACATGGAGTTACATGGGCTTAGGGTTTAGGGTTTAGGGTTTAGGGTTTAGGGTTTAGGGTTTCAAAAGCCCGCCAAAGGCTTCTTCAACTTGCTGGACTCGCCGCGGCCTGAGCTGAGCATCTGCAAGGCTCTGAGGGCTGAGGGGTTGAGGGGTTTGGGTTTAGGGCTAGGGTTTAGGGTTTTGGGGTTTAGGGGTCTAGGGTTCAGGGCTAGGGGCTTAGGGATTAAAGGGTTTAGGGGTTTAGGGGGTAGGGATTTAGGGGCTTCGGGGTGGTTTGGGGGTTTAGGGATTTAGGAGCTTAGGGGCTTAGGAGCTTAGGGGTTTAGGGGCTTAGGGGCTTAGGGGTGGTTTGGGGGTTTACGGGTTTAGGAGCTTAGGGGTTTAGGGGCTTAGGGGTTTAGGGGGTTAGGGGTTAGGGGTTTAGGGGTTCAGGGTTCCGGGTTTAGGGTGTGGGGCTTTGGGTTTAGCATTGCTGCCCTAGGCCTTGAACCCACGTGACATGGTCATTTCTCTGATGATGGTCCTGTTGTGGGTGTCATCTCAGTTTAGGGGTCCACAGATAGCAGCACCCTGTAGAACCCTGTAGAACCCTGTAGAACCCTGTAGAACCCTGTAGAACCCTGAAAAACCCAGAGACCATGAACGCTACGGAGCCCTGCTTCTCCAAAACTCACCACGTCCCAAGCCACTGACCCATCATGCGTAGGCTGTAGGACTCAAGGTGCAGGACTTGCTATTACTGAGGTTGAGGGAATGGAAGGGGAGCAAAAGGTTGGATTTAGGGTTTAGGGGTTTAGGGCGAAGGGTGCGTGGGTTTGGGGTCAGTGCTGTTATATGGTTGCATGGCATATATTAAAGAGGAGCACACCTTCACCTTCCAAAATCCTTTCCCTAAACCCTACAAACCCCTAAGCCCCCTCGACCCTCGTAATCCCTGAGCCCACACCCTGACAACCCCTAAACCATGCCCCCTCATCCCGAACCCCTAAAGCCCCGAAGCCCCCGCAAACCCTTACCCTCAAACTCCAAGAGCTCTGATTTAAGGGCTTTTGGGCCCAAAGACCTTATGATACAAGGTTGTTGAGAGCTATCTTAGCTTTAGAACCCTAAACCCTAAACCCTAAACCCTAAACCCGAAAAAGCAACCCAGGCTGCGTCACGAAGCCTGACACCGGGGTGGCGCCACTTCGGGCGTTTCGCCCAAGCTTTTGGAAGCCCTACCGTCCCCCCCCCCCCCCCATAAGGGCTCAGTCCCCTAAGCTGGGGCTTAGGGTTTAGGATTATGCGTTTAGGGCTTGGGGTGTGGGGTTGAGGGGTTGGGGGGCCAGGATTTTGGGGGGTTAGGGTTGAGGAACTCATGGTGGGGGGGCTTGGGTTGTTGGGTTTGGGGTTTGGGGTTCGTAGCTTGAGAATTGGGGGTTTAGATTGTAGAGTTTGGGGTTTTGGGTTTATAGGGGGCCCGTCAAAGGTTATCCGACACCCACCGGAAGACCCAAACAAGGCTGTTTTAAGGGTTATGTGTTGGTCATAGAAATGTAGAACTCGCAGTTGCGCTCATATTCCCTCCATTCCCTACTACTCAACAGCATGCTTCGTGCTTGGGGAGTCTAGGGCTGAGGGTTCAGGACTTGGGGTCCCAGACTCTGTGACCTGAGTTGCAAACCCTAAACATGCGGGCTTAGGACCCAACAGCAAACCCTAAACCCAAAACCCCAAACCCCAAACCCCAAACCCCAAACCCCAAAACCCCAAACCCCAAACCCCAAACCGTAAACCCTAAACCCTAAACCCTAAACCCTGAACCCCGGAGATGGCCATGTTTGCGTCTCACTGATCCCGGCTTTCCCAAAGTCAGGGAAGCTGCCGGTCGCCTGGCTGGGTCCAGCTTCGTAAACCCTCATCCTTAAGCCCTAAACCCTAAACCCTAGCCCTAAACCCTAAACCCTAAACCCTAAACCCTAAACCCTAAACCCTAAACCCTAAACCCCAAACCCCAAACCCTAAACCCTAAACCCTAAACCTGGGCGGGGGGGTGGGGGGTGCTCATCCAAATCACTCGGTCAGGGTTCAGGGTTTAGGCAGAACCTAAACCCTGAACCCTAACTCCTTAAACCCTACTCCCCTCGTTGTTTCCGAGGTGACTCTGCGGACCTACTTACTCTATGTGCTTAAGAACCCTCAAAAAAATGTTCTCCCTTATAAGGATAACACAGAGATTTGTTTCAACTTTTTGGGGGTTCTTAAGTAAATAGTAGCTGCAGAGTTTTTTGGGGGGCTTGGGGAGAAGGGGGCTCTCGGAGACCTTTACGTCTCGAGGGGATCGTAGGGTTCAGTGCTTAGGGTCTAGGGATTAGGGTTTATAGGGTTTCGGGGTTAGGGATTAGGGTTTATAAGGTTTAGGGGTTAGGGTGTAGGGTGTAGGGTTTAGGGTTTAGGGTTTCGGGTAATAGGTGTTTCATTTGGGGCTTCAGGGTTTCGGGTTTAACTAGTTTACAGTCTAGGGTTGCGTAAACCCTAAGTCCAAAGCCTCGACCTTGGATTTGGCCAGGAAAGCTCATGCCATTCTCATGGGTTTCCCTACTGACCCCATCTATACGACCCTCCCTACTGACCCCATCTATACGACCCTCCCTAGGTTCCCCCCTTAAATCACACCTTCATTGGGCAACTATCCCTAAATGGCCTTAACTATGGGGGGAGCCTAGGGCGGGCCAGTATATAGGGCGAAGGTGGGGGAACCTTAAACCCTAAACAAAGCCTAAACCCTAAACCCTATATAGAGGGGGGAAGTAGAGGAACCCATGCCATACCCGTACCATCATCTGCAGTGTCTCAGTCCGCCGACTGCCAGGGGGGAAAAAAGGGGGGAGTTAGGGTTTACGAGTTGCAGGTTCAGGGTACTTAGTAACCCATTATAAGTGTAGCTATAACCCACTTATGAGCCCCTTAAGTACCCTAATAATCAGGGTTATCATTGGGGTTACAAGTACAGTAATAATGAGGCGACTAAGTACCATGAACAGTCCAAGTAACCCAAAAGTCCCAACGCGGAGCCTAAATTGGCCTAAATCCCACACCCCAAATCCTAAGCCCCTGAAAGCTACTTGGGGGCTTTACGAGAATAAGGGACCCCCAATATAGACCCCCACATAGCAGGATTCCCTTATAGTACGGACCCCGATAAGGTACCCCTAATGTTCGGAAAGCCGAATTATTCAAGGAACGGTCCGAAGCTCACAGGAGGAAGGAAGGGAGGCATGACGTAAGGAAAACGCCACAAGGCCCCCTCCCAAAACCCCTTGACCCCGACCCCAAATCCTCAACCCCCCCACCCGCCCCTAAGCCCTAAACCCCCAAAACCCCAAACCCTAACAACCCTAATCCCTAAACCCCCTAGCACTAAACCTAAGCCCTATACCCTAAACCCTACAGGTATAAACCCTAAACCCTCAACCCTAATTCCTATAGACCCTAAGCCCTAAACCCTAAACCCAAGTGGCGAGGATGGCCGCGTCCTTTCCGCCGTCCGGCTGCGTCCCGCGGCGCACGCGGCGGGGCCCCGAGGGTTTAGGGTTTAGGGTTTAGGGTTTAGGGTTTAGGGTTTAGGGTTTAGGGTTTAGAGTTAGGGTTTAGGGTTTAGGGCCTTGCCTAGGCCCCAGGGTTGTTCGTTTAGGACTTACAGCTTCGCGGTTTGGAGTTGTGGGGCTCTACGAAGAGAAAGCAGGGCTGAACCCGCACAAGTGTGTTCGGGGCTTGGGATGGAGCGATTCGGGGGAGGCGGCCCTACGGCAGTTGACTGTAAGAACAGAAGCGACAAGCTTCAACCCTAAACCCCGAACTCCTAAACCTTACCCTAAACCCTAAACCCTAAACCCTAAACCCTAAACCCTAAACCCTAAACCCTAAACCCTAAACCCTCTTCGGCTCAGGCCACGGCTTCGATTTCCGGTTTCCGGGTTTTTCAGCGGCTGAACAGCGTCGACCTTAGGAACCCGAAACCACCTGTCCTTGTGTACTTGAAACAAGGAAACTAGGACCGCAGACTACCACTGCATACAAGCAGCATGTCACGTTCTCCAGGTGGACCCTGAGCAGCCCCCAACAAAAACTAACCCCGCTTTTAGGGGTTAGGGTTTAGTGTTTAGGCCTATTCCGAACCAGGGCTTAGTCTGCGTATCGAGAAAGGGCATACGGCTCAGGGCTTTGAAGGCGTGAGGGCCTACTTGGAGAATTGGCCGGACTCCTTTAAAAAACCTGCATATCCCTTAAACCCTACTCAAACCTTAAACCCTAAGCCCTGATGAAACCCTAAAGCCCTGAACCCACTTAAACCCCAAACCCTGCCTGCAGGCAGGGGCGCTTTGATGGCTGAGCTGTGGGTTGGCCATATGGGTTTAGGGTTTAGGGTTTAGAGTATAGGGTTTAGGGTTTTGGGTTTTGGGCGTTTTCGGGATTATAGGGGTTCAGGGGGTTCGGGGCTGGTTTAGCGTACATTTTTAGGGTTTAGGGTTTTCGGGCTGCCTAAGCTAAACCCTAAACCCTCAAGACACATTGAATGGAAATTGTGTGTGGTGTCATTCTGAATTTCCCAAGATATATGAAGCAGGGTATGTAAGGTTCCTTTTCTATATTGGTGAGTGTATATCAGGTTCCTTTTTTATATTGGTGTGTGTATATATATATGTATATATATTGGGTGTCCTTTTGGGGATACAAGAAATATATACCCTGCTTCATATGGCTAAACACCTGACAAGCAGAGTTTGAGCAAATGAATCCCAAGCTCCTGGGAGGCCAACATGCTCAATTTACTTAAGCCTCCGTGGCCTTCCCACCCGGAGGACAGCCCTGCTGCTGGAAAGCTAAATATAAAAACCGAAGCGGGTTTTGGGTTTGGGGTTTAGGGTTTAGGGTCTAGGTGCCCCTCTCGCAGTCTTAAGATTGGAAGCAAAAATATCGCTCAAGACTTTCGCACAAACCTTTCGCTCAAAACTGTCGCACAAAAGCTGTCGCACAAGACTTTCGAAAAGGTCCGTAGAAGACCCTTAGCCCGCAAAAGGCTCCGGGAGGCCTCAGAAAAGCACCCCCTCCCGCCCCAGCTCCCCCTTTCCGCCAGCTGCCCCCCACTCATCCAAAAAAGAAGTTTTGCTCAAGGCTTTCGCTCGCTCGCTCAAAACGACCCAAGCCCTATACCATTTCTATAAGCCCTAAGCCCCAATGAAACCCTAGACTCTAAACCCCGAAGCAACCCTAACCCCTAACCCCTAAACCCTAAACCCTTAAGCCCCTAAACCCTAGACCCTAAACCCTAAACCCTAAACCCTAAACCCTAAATTTAAGAGCCTCCGGCTCAAGCCGCCGACCCCGCTGGAGCATAGTTGAGAGGTCTAAACCCGCTCGCATGGTTCGAAGATCATCCCAGCCTGCTCGGCAGAGTTGTGTGAAACGTTTGGGGGGGGGTAGGGGGTAGCACCAGGACAAGCTCAAGCCAAAAAAGACAGGTGGGTGGGGGTGGGGGGGTGGGCTGATTTTGCTGAGGGCGCCCCTACCCCCCTGTGCTGAACCGCCTGTTTACGCTGTGCGGGTGGCGCGGTCCTCCACGAAAAAATTGTGCACCGACCCCCCCTACCCCCCCCCCGCGTTTTGGGGGGGTAAGGAGGGAAAGAGGGAGGTTTTCACCTCCTCAAACCCATCCAACACGCCGCCAGGGTCGGCGGACCCTAAACCCTAAACCCTAAACCCTAAACCCTAAACCCTAAACCCTAAACCCTAAACCCTAAACCCTAAACCCTAAACCCTAAACCCTAAACCCTAAACCCTAAACCCTAACCAGGCCCACGCGCCAGCCCTGCGATCCAACAGTCGCTCCTCCACGCTGCGCAGCTTCGCCGGGGCGCTCAAAGAGAGCCCCATAGGGTTTAGGGTTTAGGGTTTAGGGTTTAGGGTTTAGGGTTTAGGGGGTTTAGGGTTTAGGGTTTAGGGTTTAGGGGCTTAGGGTTTAGGGGCTTAGGGTTTAGGGCGCTTAGGTTTCAGGGGTTTAGGGGTTTAGGGTTTTTGGTGTTAAGGGTTTATGGGGTTTAGGGTTTAGGGTTAAATTATTCTCTCTCTGATAGCGGTTGATAGGGATTCTACTCCCAAGGGACTTTACGATGGTCCCTTGAATATGGTCCCATTAATATGGTCTCTAAATGTCTTCAAAGGGTTCTGAAGTGTGGGCCCTTAAGTTTACAGCGGGGAAAAGCGGGTTCCCAACTAAGGACCCGTATGAAGGGACCATGTAACTACCCCAAGACTAGTTGGAGGTTCATGGGTACTTACACCTCAACTAGAACCGTATGATGTTTTGCCGACAGCACGTAAGGGTTTAGTGTTGAGGCTTCATAGAGATTATGGTTTAGGAGGTCTTGGTGTGGGTTGGAAGTGCAGTAATTTGCAAGAACCTAAGCCCTAAAGTCTAAACACTGGCCAAGAAGGCCGAGAAAGTGCAGAAGTTCCACAGTTGAGGAGGGTGTCCCTGTTAAGATTTCTGTCGGCGTTCAAGGTTCAGGGTTGGGGTTTACAGAAACTGTATAGGGTTTGGGCCCATCAACGTTCTGACCGAAAGCTTTGACTTCACAACTTAGCTTCACACGTTCTTACTAATCACCCTAAACCCGAAACCCTAAACCCTTTTTCTTTGGGGGGGGAAGGGGGGCACAGCCGTGGGGGGGGGGGGGGGGGGGGGCTCCGGGTTGGTTCGGAAGCGTGTTTTTGGCGATTTTTGGGGGGTGTTTTGGGGCTGTTGTGGGCCCGGGGCTTGCTTGGGGGGTTTGCGGGGCTTTTGTGCCTCTAGGGCTTAGGGTTTACTTAAGCCCCTTGAAGCCTGCCCATCTTTTCCATAGGTCTGCGGCTTGCCCGGCTAGGCTGGGAAGTAGGGTTTCGGGTTTACGGTTTAGGGAGTTCACGTGCTGCAAGGAAGACGTTGGGGTCAATATGGTTGCAGCATGTTCCTCCAGAGGCTTGGGATTCAGGGGTTTAGGGATGTGAGAGGATCAAGTGGTTTGGCTTGTTGTGTTTGTCTGTGTGTGTGTGTGTGTGTGTGTGTTTTTTTTTGGGGGGGGAGGGGGGGAGGGGGGGGTAGTTTTCGGGTGTTTCGGCAACACCTGTTCTGCCGAGGCCCCCTACTTAAAAGGCTTCAAAAAGGGTCTTCTTGTAAGAGGAACCTCCTAAGCTTAATCAGGCCCTAGGCCCCAATGCCCCAATACCCCAAACGCCTCAACCCCCAAACCCCTAAACCCTCAGCCTTTGGGAGGTCTCCGGGACAGAGGCTATAGACTTGGGCTATAAAGGGTGTTAGGGATGAGGCTTTCAAGTTTAAGGGTTTAAGGGTTTCGGGGAGTGGTAAGGGATGAGCTTCTTTTCTGCTTGAAGCCTCACGTCCCGGAGATTCCCCATGACCCCAACACGGAGCACCATAAGCTCCGGGAGTTGGGTTTTTTGGGGCGGTCGGAGGGTGGAGGGTTTAGGGTTTCGGGGCCCATTTAGGGGGTTGCGACCCACCCTGCCTAGGGCAGCTATGGCTGCCAGGTGGTGCGAAGCCACTAAGTCAGAAATCTCCCCTTGCAAGACCCGACTTTGTCTTTCCAAGTGTTGCGGGCGCTGGCTGCTTGTTGGAAGGCGACCCCACTGAGTTTGCACAATTCGAGGGTTCTTCATGCCCGGGCATGAGATGTATGCGCGAGCTGGCAACGAATCTGAAGGCCTGCCATGACGTAGGCTGCAGCGAGTGCTTGAGTGTTTTGCTCTGTACTTAACTTGGCATCTCCCAGGCAGAAAGTCAGAAGCCGCAAGAGAGCTTTCGCTGTATCATGGCCGGCTTTGACCCTGGCCCCTGGTGAGATGCTAGAGTTCTTGCGCATCTCCGAGCTGCGACTCGTCTTAACATGGAACAGACACCTGCCGAGCAGGACATGACTGCAAGGAGACGGAAGCGTCGAATTCGACAGTGTGAGCTTTCCGAGCTCCGGAGGGGTCCACTGCTGCAACGCAGTCCCAGGCCCCTAACGTAGGGGGTCGGAGTAATTGTTAATTAATAGTATTCCCTTATGGTCCCTCCAGTATTATACAACCAGAACCCCCAAAACCCTATCCTAATTATAAAGGCCCCTAGAGTAGCCCTAAGGCCCAAAAATGTCAGTGCCTAGAGCATATGTAGGGCCCAATCACCAACCTGAGCCCAAGAACGACGCCGCAGTCTCCGGGCATCCCGGCGGGCAGATTCCACTAGATAGGGTTCGGGTTTAGGGTTTAGGGCTTAGGGTTTGGGGTTTCGGGTTTCGGGTTTAGGGTTTAGGGTTCAGGGTTCAGAGTTCAGGGTTCAGGGTTCACGGCTCAGAGTTTAGGCTTTGAACGTTTAGCTTTGAGGGGTTTAACCTGCCGCCCCAGGCATGTTAGCAAAACCCATTCGTATAGGAACTCCCCGCTGCACTCGGTCCTCTGTAAACCATAAGGCGAAACCCGAAAGCCAAATCTGCTGCAGCTCTAAACTCCACACCCCCGCCGTAATCACAGCTGAGGCAGAACTGAAGTTTAGGCCCCGTATTTCCCCGAATATGGTAGCAGTTCGGGTTTTCACCCTAAACCCTGAAACCTGAAAGCTTAAACCCTGAACCCTGAATAAGGGTTTAAGCTCACGACCTCTAGCATGCATAGGTCCGACCTTCAGCACCTCGGCGAGGGTTTAGTTGTTTCGGGGTAGAGGGGTTTAGGTTTTAGGGGGTTAGGGTTTAGGGTTTGGGGTTTGGGGTTTAGGGTTTAGGGGCTTAGGGTTTACCGTTGGCTGCCTCAGAATCTTCTCAAAGTGCTTTTGCAGCGATAGCCTACAACTGGTTCCTAGGGTTTAGGGAAGCCCCAGAAGCATTGGAAACGTCAGGGGATTAGGGCCCTCGCCTGGGCGCCGTCGTGCGCAGCTGGGGGGCCTGGTGCTGCTCCTGGGCGTGTTTCGTACGCAGCTGGGGGGCACTCAGTAGCAGCCGCTCGAGCCATAGCGTGTGGCATCCGGTTCCTCCCTTGTGGGTTGAGACAGCCCGGCTCTGCCTTTTGTTTCCTTGTGTCCTGCCTGCCCGGGAAGTCTGCTTTGCCGCCATTGGTCGGCATTCTCATTCGCACCCTCCTGAGTGAGTTGTCCGGCCATGGCTCCGTCCCCCGGCGTTCTTCGCCTTCTGCGGTTACTGGTGTTGGGGCTTGCGTGGCCAGCGCAGACTGCATTGTGCCATACATTCGTGCACACTGGTGAGCTGGAGGTTGGCCCTGCGCGGTCGCTCCGGCCTGTTCTCCATCTCCCTGCATCGATTCGGCGCTGCGAGCGTCGACGTCATTGCTGTCTTCATCCGGTCACTTCGCTTGAGCACGCTTCTGCGGCCTGTTGGGACCCCTTAGCGGGCTTCGGTCATCGTGCCTCTCCCGTGTGGGGTCGCCGTTGCAAGCGGTTGTTTGAAAAACAGCGCCGCAACTGGGGCCAGCGCAAACTGCGCCGCCGTTGCGGGTACTGCGCAGTCCGCGTTGGTGAGGCCTCGCTTCCGGGCCCCTCCCCGGACCGGGATCACTCACCTCCTTCTGCCGAGCCCGCGGCCCTGCGTCGCCGCGTCCACGCACCTGAGGCTGCTGTGCGCTGCTTTTGCCCTGTGCCTGGGTGCGGCTTGGGGGATCCCTTGCGCTCCCGGGGCTGGGGCTCTCACCCTGCAATGCGACATCATCTCGATGACCACTGCTCAGGCCAGTTGTCAGGGGCCGTCCCGCAGGAGTACCTTGATGCACACAGCCTCGACACTTGCACGGTTTGTGGTTTGTTGGTTAAGCGGTACTATAATGGGTCCCACCCCCGCTGTCGGCCTGACTCGCGTGCTCAAGCCGCCCGTCCGGGCGCCGTGCCTCCTGTAGCGTCTGCCGCCGACCCTCTTCCGAACTTTGCTGACGTGCTGGCGGCAGAGGTTCCTACCGTGCGGCATGTCCCTAAGGTTGCCCGTGCAGCCTGGGCCCAATGTCTGGCTCGCGCTATTGCCTCAACAGTAGCACGCAACACCCCTGCCGCTTGGTTGGAATTATTGATGCTCCCCAAAGCCGTGCTTGTCGCTCCTTTTCGTGGTGGGGCTCGCCACCGAGCCCAATTGGGGCAAGCCACCAAGCGGCGCTGCTTGCGCTGGCTCGATGGTGAGAGGGTTGAGCTGTGGGAGGAATGTGTGTTTGAGCCACGCCAACGTAGCGGTCCGACTCGCCTGTCCCTTGAGGCCCGCCACTCCCGTTGCCGCCGCCTTGCCGCTGAGGGTGATCTAGCTCGAGCGTGTGACGCTCTGCTCCAGGAGCCGCCTCTACCCCGTGATGCTGCCACCCTCGCTGCTCTGCAGGCCAAACACCCTCAAAGCCCACTGCCAGACCTTGCTGCTTTGGGCGCGCCTCGTCCGGGCGCTGTGCCTGAGTTCAGCGCAGAGGCTGTTGCCAAGGCAGTGAGAAGCCTTAAGCGTGCTTCGGCCCCAGGGCCGTCGGGGCTTAGGCCCGACCACCTTCGTGAAAGCTTGTCCACTGCTCACGCAGACGAGGTTGCTGTGCATCTTGCGGCCTTATGCCACCTCTCGGCGAGGGGAGAGGCCCCCGCTACCCTTGCCCCTCACTTGGCCGGGGCTACGCTGCACGCCTTGCCCAAGCCTCAGGGGGGCGTGCGGCCTATCGCCATTGGGGAAGTTTTGCGCAGGTTGGTCGGGAAACTGTTGTGTGGGAGCGTTCGCGAGGCCGCTCGTGACCAGCTTTGGCCCTTGCAAGTCGGTGTAGGTGTGCCCTCAGGAAGCGAAGCTGCCGTGCACGCTGCGCGACACTGGCTGCAAAGCCATTCTGGGCATGAAAACCGCGTCCTGGTCAAGCTTGACTTCCGCAATGCCTTTAATGCAGTGTCTCGCGCGTCCGTTCTCCGGGAGGCCCGCGCCCGAGTTCCGGAGGTTTCTTCTTGGGCCGACTGGTGTTATGGACACAGCTCCCGGCTCCGTCCTGGAAAGCACGTCGTCGCTTCCACATCTGGGGTGCAACAGGGCGACCCTCTAGGTCCCCTTCTGTTTGCCTTGGCCCTTCAACCAGCCCTTGCAGCGGCCGCTGCAGCGGCGCGCCTGGACTTGTGCTTCGCGTACTTGGATGACGTCGTGTTAGCTGGCAGCCCTGCTGACGTGGCGAAGGCCTTGCGTGCTCTCTGTGAGGTTGCCGGCCAGGCCGGCCTTATCCTCGAGCCCACCAAGTCTGAAGTTGTCCTTCCTGGCGCCGCCTGCAGCCCTGACCTCCGCGCCCTGCCGCCGGGCCTGGTACGCCGTGTCGGCGAATTCGAGCTCCTTGGTGCGCCCATAGGGGGTCTCTCTTTCTGCAACCAACACTGCGTGACCCACCGTGTTGATAAGGCACAAGCTTGTCTGAACGCCCTTGCTGAGCTACCGGACTCGCAAACCGCGCTCCTCCTACTTAGGCATTGTGCTTCCTACACTAAGTTGGCCTATTCCATGCGGGTGACCCCGCCGGCGGCCCATGCAGATGCCTTGCAAGAATTTGACAGTCGCGTTCGAGCCTCGCTCGAACTAATCGGGGGGCTCCAACTCACTGATCGCGCTTGGCAGCAGGCGACCTTGAGAGTTGCTGCCGGCGGTTTGGGGCTGCGCAGCGCGGCCAAACACGCCCCCGCAGCATACATTGCCTCCGCCTCCTCGTGCTCGGAAGCTTGTGCTGCGCTGTCGCATCAGTACGTTTTGGACCTCGCCCACCCGGCAGCCCAATACAATGCGACGGTGGCCCCTGATGCTGCGCTCCCCCCTCAGCCTGTGCCCGTTAGGCAGCAAGAGTTGTCAAGCGCCATTGATGCCGCTGAACGGCAGGCCTTGATTGCCTCTAGCGC